CTCGACTGTTGGATCACTTTGTGGAGGAGTTCAAACGTGAGCACGAGGGAAGGGACTTGACAACCAGCACAAAAGCCATTAGCCGTCTGAGAGAGGCATGTGAGACAGCAAAGAGGAAGCTGAGTACTGTTGAATGCACGAATGTGGAAGTCGAATCGTTGTTTGAGGGCATCGATTTCTGTGCGGACCTCACTCGAGCCAAATTGGAGTGGTTGTGCTCGGACCTCTTCCGTCGAACGATGGATGCGGTAAAGTCGGTATTGAGTGCTGCGAAGATGAAGAAGACTGACATCCACGAGATATTGTTGGTGGGTGGATCGACGCGTATTCCGAAGGTGCAGACGATGCTGCAGGACTTCTTTAATGGTAGGCGATTGAATAGGTCGGTCAACGCAGACGAGGCAGTGGCGTACGGTGCGACATTGCTGGCGGCCAAACTGACTGGCACTATGACGAAGTCGATGCAGCGCTTGAGGCTGCTGGACAAAAGTGGCATTCTCCATGTGTCAGTGGTGGAAAAGTCGTTAAGGAAGCAGAAGAGCATCACGACTATCAATTACAAAGGTGGTCTGTCGGAGGAGGAGATAGAACGAATGATGAATGATGCGGAGAAGTTCAAGCAGGTGGACGAGAAGGAGAGAAGAAGGCTGGCAGCGAAGAATGGGTTAGTGGGGCACATTTACAGCATAAGGGAGGAAATGGAGAGCGAGGGGATGAAGCAAAGGACATCGGAGGAGAATAGACAAAAAGCGATTAGGACGTGTGAGAAGATGATGAACTGGATTAACAAGGAGAAGAACGCTAAAGAGGAGGACTATAAACGAATGTGGAGAACGTTGGAGGAGATGTACACTGATATTACTAGGATCCGAAGAAGTGCTGTTTCTGATCACAGCGATATGAAAAGCGATATAGACAGATGTGGACACCCAAACACCCGCATTTGTATCGTCGAATATAACAAGAAGCGACGGATTTAAAAATCTGCTTACCTAAATGCGATTAATAAACCATAACCCACAGTGAATTGTTACTTGTGTTGTATTTCGACGGATAAATACATGATAATTCATTATAGCTTTTATTTTACCACCTAGCTCTTCATTGAACCATCCTCGTCCTCCCTAAAGCAGCCCCTTGTTTACCTATTTCTAAAGTGGAGAATGGCGAGGGGGTCACTTGCTGACGGCACAAAATCCACACTGCTCGTCATCACAAATTTTGTGGACAGGTTGAGGAATATCTGCAATAGTGTAGGCCAAGTAGAAGTCTACACCAAACCAACCGGTTATGCAGTTGCCACCGTCATCTTTTAGTGTCCCTACCGGGGCACTTATTCTGTCGTCATGCCATTGCCCATATCGATGATAGCATGTGTGCCATCGAACTTGGCCGAACAAATTTATGCAAGAAATCATCATGTCACAAATGACATTGCCATTACCACCACAATTTGCGTAGGTGCTAGAATGTGGACACGTTCCACGCTTGTATGATGCAGGGTGAGATGAGGGTCTGAACATGGCCATTGTTGTTTCCGCGGTCCTGCAACTGAGAGCGCACAATTGGTTGCACTTGATGAGAGGCACAAAGGGGACAGAAGTCGCTGTAGCCAGCAAAACGATAGCCTAACAATACAAATGGGAAACCGAGACGCTAAAAGCAGTCAAGCAATTCACAACTATAACAAAGTAGCCTCAAACGTCAGTCAACGCTGATCGGTGTACTCGATTATTTACTGTGCATTCATTTTGGCCCACTGCCCACGCATTCGTACGCATTTTGAGCCGACTTGTGCGACTCACTAAATTCATCCTTAAATACTGCTTTCCTCTTTCACCTTCCGTTACAATCACGTGTATGTGGCATAATGTGGATTCACTTTAGCTACTTTCTTCTGTTTTGGCGATTGAAATGCCTCCGACTGCATTTTGCGAGCAGATGCAGACATGATGGAATGTTGGACAGAAGTGTAGATTATGGGACCATTTTGGATTACTGGATGCTTGAAGATATAGGTGGGAGAATAGGGAAATGCAAAAGTTGGCCACCGAATCCCTGGAGGAATTTTGGCAGACGACACGACCTAGTCCTCATTCCTTACTTCTGATTTCACAGTATGTCAGTTACCACCTAGTCAAGCTGGCCAATTCAGCATTGCACGAATCTCATCTTCTTTACTTCCTCCACCTCTCCTGGTTAGGAGCTTGCGAAGTCTTCTTTCATACATGTAGCAGCACTAAATGGGCAGAAGATTGTTGGGAAGTTAGTTTTGTGGTATTACACGGGAACGCGCAACTGTTACCCTCAGGCACACAAACGTGTCTCGTATGAGTGAGGTAGGGCTTAATAGAATTACCATCTCACGATTACAACACCGACATTAATCAAACTGTCACCCACAGCGGCATATAGTCATGACAACTGTGTCTATGGCTACTTCATTCCTTTTTAGCACACCGAGAAACGAAATGTCAATGACGTGGTCCACACACCAAAGAGTGGTACGTAATTCTTGTGAGTTGGACCCACGCAAATGTGTGCAATGGAATGGAACGCAAGCCTTTATTTGGCGACTTAACTTTTCATCTACAACCCAGCTTAATTTTCAAACGCAAAAATTGGTTTTTTTTTGTAAAAAGGCCTGCAGGAAAACTGGTAACGCGTGGTGCTGTGACAATGACATTTCATTCCATCGAGACTAGTGTAGGAAATAGACGTGGTCGAATGGTGCTCGCGCAGCCGCCAAAATAGCGTGGATGAATCCTTCGGTGCACAAAAACCCCACAAATTTCTGGTGCTCATGGTGGATCTACTTCATGTTCATTTCTCAGGGACATTTCACTCCCACCATGGCTGTACCAAGAGAGATTTGAGAA